CACACACACACACACACCCGGTGTGAGTTTTAAGCCACCGGGTCTGGGACGCGAACCACGGTCGACTACGTGGGAGTCCAGCAACATAGCCATTACACTAACTGCTGGTTCCCAGAATATCCTAAATTCTTTATCAGACATTTCTGTGAGTTCCTTTGTACTATCCGTTGATGAAGAAGTTACTCTTTTCCCTTGGGAGAGAGGTATTTTCTTGGTTTCTCATATTTCTGTTTCTTATTTTTTTTGGAGAGGTTCTTTCTTATTGGGCGTGTGTGCTTGCCAGAGAGAGAGAGAGAGACGGAAAGCAAGAAATCACCCCCCAGAGGGGATAGCCATGATGCAATCCCCTCTCCGTTCTCCTCTCGGGATCTTGGGCACGCATGCACACGCGCCTGGTGTGAGTTTAAGCCGCCGAGTCTGGGACTCGAACCTCGGTCAGCTACATGGAAGTCCATAGCCATTATGCTAACTGCTGGTCCCGGTTTCTCATATTTTTTGTGCCTCTGCAGTGATTTCTACTCATCTGATGGGTTATTCATTTCTTCCTAATTTCCAGAAGTTCAATCTGAGCGATCAGAAATGTGCAGGAGGAGGTGATGTGCACTTAGCCATTTAGTTTTTCTTCATTTGTATGGTAGATTCAGTGTGAATTGAATATGTTGCCCCTAATAGTTAGTATTCAGATACTTGGTTACGTATCACTTAGACCTATCTAGACACTCAGTGTGTGGTGGCCAAGAAGCAACGCGATGAGGTAAAAGAAAATGGGTAAGAAAACAGAGAAGAAAGAAAAAAAAAAAAACTGAAAACTGCACAGCCTACAAAAGCGCTATATCTCAGCTTCCATGGAGGACTCATTCTTCTGAAGGCCTGCTCCCCTTTTTGTCTCGTGAATGGGAAGGGGGTAAGGGGATTATTAGCAAGATAAAGGAGGATTTCTAAATGGGAAGGGGGAAAGGGGATTATTAGCAAGATAAAGGAGGATTTCAAGAGCCAAGAAAATACTTTTCCTTTAAGAAAATTTAAAAAATGAAGAGATAGAGGATACAGGGACCTCTACCAGGGTGAATTATCAGCAGAAAATCTTCATTTCTCTTATTCCCTGGAAGCACTAGATCTCGGCTCCCATGGAAGACTCGGTCTTCTCGGTTCTTCATTTTCTTAATGATACATGATTGCCATATACTCATATTTTTACAAAGGAGACATCTTTTCCTTTGTTTTGATTTTCTGCCTCTTTAGCAAGTGTTCATCTGTAAAAGTTTGTAGAACTTGTTCTCAAACCTGGTTGCCATAACACCTTTCAGTTTTTGCTATAAGAGCACATGTTCTTACCCAAGAGAGACGGGACAGGAAAAGTGAGAAGTCACCCCACCCCAAGACGGAATGGCTATACCACAATCTTCTTCATTCTTTCCTCTGAATTTTGGGGCACACACGCATGGGGCCCAGCATGATTTTCAAGCCATGGGGTCCAGTCTCAAACTACAGAGTTGACTGAAGGATCCAGCACTTTAACTTCTATGCCAGTTGCTGGCCCTTTCATAAAACCCGCTTTTTTTTTTATCTTTTTAAATGATATCAAAGTATTGATGTACTACTATTGGCCTTTCCATGATTGCTTTGTAGGAGGGTGTGCTATGGGCAAAACTTCTGCTAGTTCATTAAACCAGGTTGAGGAAATAATCTACCAATTTATGTCCAATTCCTTATTTAGAATCATCATGCTCATTCTGTGGAATGGGATCCAAGTGTGCTCTTCAGACTTCGCCAAAATTCTTGCACCACTTAGTAAAAAGAATGGTTAGATGTGGCTATATGGTGAACCAAGGGCTGAGCACAGGGTGAGGTTGAAGATAGGTTTTTGTCTTTAAGTTTGTATAATGTTCATTCCAGGGGCCCTCCTCGCCAAAGACAGCCCAGAGAGGACGGCAATGAAGAGGATAAGGAAAATCAAGGAGATGAGACCCAAGGTCAGCAGCCACCTCAACGTCGGTACCGACGCAACTTCAATTACCGACGCAGACGCCCAGAGAACCCTAAACCACAAGATGGCGAAGAGACAAAAGCGGCCGATGCCCCAGGTGAGAGAGGCTGATCAGGGGGCGCTGAGTAAATGCCGGCTTACCATCTCTACCATCATCCAATTTAGTCATCCAACAGGAAGTGAATATGAAGTTCCAGCAGTAAAAAATGAACGAAAGATTGGAGCTGAAAACCTTAAGTGCCTGCCTTTTGCCCATTGACCACATAACTAGAACTCTCTGCATTATGTATGCAGCATGGAGTTTTTATTATTTTTACCTAAGGATGTCTTGTTTTGGTAATGACAAACGTGTTTTTTTAAAAACGCTTGTTTTTTCTCAATACATCTTTAAAGGTTTTTAAATTGTTTCATATCTGGTCAAGTTGAGGTTTTTAAGAACTCATTTTTAATTTGTAATAAAAGTTTACAATTTGATTTTTTCAAAAAGTCAACAAATTGCAAGCATCTATTAATAAAGATCTTAAATAATAATAAAAGTATTTCAATCTAGATAAATAACTGAAAGCCAAAGACAGCCCAGAGAGGACGGCAATGAAGAGGATAAGGAAAATCAAGGAGATGAGACCCAAGGTCAGCAGCCACCTCAACGTCGGTACCGACGCAACTTCAATTACCGACGCAGACGCCCAGAGAACCCTAAACCACAAGATGGCAAAGAGACAAACGCAGCCGATCCACCAGCTGAGAATTCGTCCGCTCCCGAGGCTGAGCAGGGCGGGGCTGAGTAAATGCCGGCTTACCATCTCTACCATCATCCGGGTAAGTCAAGTCTAGGTGGCCTTCTGGCCCCAATGTGGGCAGTCATGAGTGGTGTTCCTCTTATTTTACTAACCCAAGGGGGGAACCCAGTTATATATATATTTTCAGACTTAGTAAAAACCATACTTTGCCCCTCAGCTAATTCACAGTTCTGGCACTCAGACTTGTCTTACATCATGTATTTTGAATATTACAACTTTGTGTCAACTTTGCTGAATTAGTTCTGATTTCACAAGTAAGCTCTGAAGAAGTTGCTGATTTTACTGGCAAGTATGTTAATTACATTATGTTACTTAAGCTTCCTTTCTTTTCAAGAAGTGGGGTGTCTGCTAGAATTAATAAACCTAGATTATGAAAAGTCAGTTGAGGGAAAGTGGCAACTTTGGTATCATCTTTTAATAGGTATAGTTACTTTTAATTGTTGTGGGTTTTGTTTTTTTGTTGTTGTTTTTTTTGGTTAGTTAATCTGGGAGCTGTTTTGTTTCTAAAAAAAAAAGAAAAAAAAATGGGGCTTAAGAGCCAGTGTAATAATTAAGAAGGCTGAAACTCACATGGCTCACTACACCATTCAAGTTCCGGACCCAGTGGCTTGAAAAATATGGTGGGTACTTGTGCATGTCTGCCCAAAATCACAAGAGGAAAATGGAAAAGGAATTGCTTCATGGCCATTCCCCCAGGGGTACTTTCCTGGTTTGTCTCTCCCTGGCAGGCACACACACCTTACAGCAAAAGAGTAGTGCTTAACTCCTAGGAGTGAGCACTACTAGGAGTGAGCATTACTTCTACTTGATTCAAAGTGTCTGTAAGGTTAATGCTGGTCTTTTGACAGATCAAATAACGATAAACTTAGGGGTTTTTTGTTGTGATTTATTGGCTTGCTCGTTTTTGTTAGCTTAAAATTCCAAAATTTTAAGGGTTTCCATTTCATTGATTGTTTTGCTTAGAACTACTGAAAGGCAGAAATTGGTATCTTTGGCTCTGGAATTTTTTGGGGGGGGGATTTTCATTATAGGGTGCGTGCGCTCGCCAGACAGAGACAGACAGAAAGCGAGAAATCACCCCCCAGGGGGGATGGTCACGCCGCAATCCCTTCTCCTCCATTCTCCTCTCGGGATCTTGGGCATGCACGCACACGCGCCCAGCGTGAGTTTTAAGCCACCAAGTCCAGGACGCGAACCGCAGTCGACTACGTGGGAGTCCAGCGACATAGCCATTACGCTAACTGCTGGTTCCCTGGAATAATTTTCAATTTTGGCATAAGGACACCCTCAGCTACAAGTAACCATTTTTGTTTTGTTTTGTTTTGTTTTGTTTTTCTCTGGTGTTTGTGCTCACCAGAGTGAAATTTAGAAGTCACCCCCAAGTGGATGGCCACGTAACAAACCCATTTTTCCTCTCAGGATTTTGGGCATGCAGCACATGTGTGCCTGGCAGGATTTGTCAGGACACTGGGTCCATGACTGGTCCAGAACTGTGGATTTGGCCATGTGGGGTCCAGTGCCTTAGCCTCCATACCACCTGCCAGCCCCACAAGTAACTCTGTTATAAACTACTTTCCTAGCTCAAACCATTATGAGATTTGTTCATGGCTTCATATACATAGTTATTAATGTGATGCATTTGGATACACTAAGCATTGTGATGGATTATCACAATGATAATCTTTTCATTTCTTTTTTTCTTGCAGTTTAGTCATCCTACAAGAAGTGAATATGAAATTCCAGCAATAAGAAATGAACAAAAGATTGGAGCTGAAGACCTTAAGTGCTTGCTTTTTGCCCGTTGACCAGATAACTAGAACTATCTGCATTATCTATGCAGCATGGGGTTTTTATTATTTTTACCTAAAGATGTCTCTTTTTGGTAATGACAAACGTGTTTTTTAAAAAAAAGCCTGGTTTTTCTCAATACACCTTTAAAGGTTTTTAAATTGTTTCATATCTGGTCAAGTTGAGATTTTTAAGAACTTCATTTTTAATTTGTAATAAAAGTTTACAACTTGATTTTTTCAAAAAAGTCAACAAACTGCAAGCACCTGTTAATAAAGGTCTTAAATAATTGTCTTTGTGTATTTCTGTTTTAATTTGACTCCTTAGCTGTATATAAGAACTTCAGCTTAAGCCAGTCTGCATATAATCTCCTAAGGAATTTTTTTTTTTAATTTTGTAATTGTGTATTGGGTAACATTACATAGCGGTAGGGTCATACTAAAAACTAGAAGATGTGTGCCAGGCCAGCGCCCTTAGCCTAGTACTAGTAGTTCAGGGAGCCTCATCTCACATGACTGACCACAGTTTGCATCTTTGCCCTGGCAACTTGAAAAAAATGCCAGATGTATATGCATGCGTGCCCAAGTCCTGGCGAGAACGAAGATGAGAGGCATAAGGGTTGCTTTGTGACCATGGGGGCAGGGGGGAGGGCTGTCTGTATCTTTTCCCCTTCCTCCCCCCTGCCCCCAGGTGAGTGCACACACACAGCAATAAAACAAAAAGAAGGTATGTACTCATGATTTGCCTGTTTTCCACATAGGGATTAGCTCATCTGTAAGAAAAACTTTGTCAGTGGAGAAACTAGTGTTAAGGTTATGTGTGAGTTCTTCTGCTATAAGGCAGTGGTAAAGGGGAAGAATGTGCTCTAACATGCATTGGAACATCCTCCCGCAGCTTGGTATGCTCACTTGACATTGACCAGATTCCTTACATGGTAGGGATGGTAACATGATGTGCTGTCTAAGGGAAGGCTATTCAAGAACATGGAAGTCAGTGAAGTGATTTTTGTGTTTTTAATGCCATGTATCCTAAGCCAAGTGTTTGTGGGTTTTTTTTTTGGGGGGGGGGTTATTTTTGAGAGGTTTTTTGCTATAGGGCGTGTGCATTCGCCAGACAGAGACAGAGAGAAAGCGAGAAATCACCCCCCAGGGGGGATGGCCATGCCGCAATCCCTTCTCCATTCTCCTCTCAGGATCTTGGGCACACACACAGGTGCGCCCGGCGTGAGTTTTAAGCCACTGGGTCTGGGATGCAAACCGCGGTCAACTACATGGGAGTCCAGCGACGTAGCCATTACGCTAACTGCTGGTCCCTCAAGTGTTCTTTTCTAACGTTAAGGTACTTGTTGGCGCACTCTGAGTAATCCGACACTTGCTTGAACGTGACCACTGTCCAGAAACGTGTGTGTGTGTGTGTGTGTATTTGGGTGGACGGGGGGCAGCTTTCAGGGCCCAAGGGAAAGAAACTGCAGGAAGATGGACTAGGATAGAGTCCGGGAGCCCTGTGATGTGGCTAAATCCAGGGACTGGTGACTAGCAAGAAAAGATGAAAATTGACTACTAGTAAATTCTAGAAAGTCCTCCCCTAAGTTTGGGGCCAAGACTACAATAGAACCAGGTAAGGACTTGAGAGACTGGAGAACTATTCCATAGCCATTGTGCAGAATAAAAGCCATGTAACGAGCAGAGTGAGCAACAGAGAGTGATAATTCTAGGTTTTCTATCACACAAACATTAAAATGAGCAAAGTGGGGAATGTCATCAGGAATGGAAAAAATACGGGGGCAGGGAGCTCAAGGATGATACGGAGGTGAAATATGGCAAGGCTGACCAGAATGTGAAAGTTTGGAGGTTATTTCCAGTGACAATACACCAGACGTGTGTTCTCATGATCCACTAGAGTTTTATCAAAGATTAGGGGAGAGTAAAGTAATTGTGTCTCAGGACTGGCTTCCAAGACACCTTGATAATTTGGGATAAGGGGGGAAACCCACCACCACCGGCTCCAAGGGAAGTACTAGGGTGAGGTGAGAAGATGGAACACCCAGCAAGGTGCTGCTAACAATTCCAGGCAGCATAGGGGAAGGTTTAGGAAGGGAGCTGAATTAGGTCAGATTCGGAAATGGAGAGAACTTGGGGCCAGCAGGTGGCAGAATGGTTAAGGGCACTGGACTCCCACACAGTTGACCACAGTTCAAGTCCCTGACCTGGCAGCTTGCTTTCTCCCTCTCTGGTCAGATTAAAACAAAAAGATAAAATAATCCTTAGGAAAGAAAAATGGAGAGGGGGACCAGTAGGTGTGGTTAAGGTGCTGGACAAAGAAGGAGAGGGCTAAGGTACTGTACCAGGCGAGTGTAATGTATGCTCGGGTAAACCCTGAGGTTCTGCTGGGAATATTGGTGTCTGCCTTCTAAGTGGTCACATACGGGGAAGAAACTTAACTAGTCCTGCTCTGAGGGGTGTCCCAGGCAGTTGATAAACTGTACTTCATCTGCTTGTAGTGTTAACAAAAATTAGAGAAGTGAATAACTGTTGGCTGGCGCTGTATCTATACCACCCCAGATGTGTTTTTTTTTTCTAAGAGATTTTTGCTATACGGTGTGTGCCCTTGACAGAGAGACAGGGAAGGACAGAAAGCAAGATATCACCCCAGGGAGATGGTCATACTGCAG